TTTAAGTTAGAAAACATATTATATGTATGTATGTATGTATGTATGTATGTATGTATGTATGTATGTATGTATGTATGTATGTATGTATGTATGTATGTATGTATGTATGTATGTATGTATGTATGTATGTATGTATGTATGTATGTATGTATGTATGTAACTTCCTTCATCAGAATTCAGAACAATGACAATAGAAGTTACTTTAACTCAACTTAGTGTTCGGGATAATTTCTTTCATAAAATAAAATGCATTAAACACTTTTTATGTTAATAATAGTTTAAGGAAAGTAATCTCACCTCATTCTTCTAAATCTATTATTTAGATAGATATAACGTACAAAATAGACTAATTAAATATTGTAATTAATGCATCTGTATCCTTAACACAAGTTTCTATCGTCACACTACATACGTTACGTTTCTCGTATTTCATTCAATAGTACATTAATACTATAATGTGTGGTGATTAGTGAATGTTAAACTGTTAACGCTACGTGTGTAGTGTGAGCTAACATAGAGTAAGCACACATAATGTTATATTAGAATAAATATTTCCAGTAATTCTAGTATTATCCAAACTATTGATACAATAAGTTCATGTTGAAAATGTTACATTGATTATGATTAAATATTTTAATGGATTTTATTCAAATCATACTAATTACAATTAAATACCCCCTTAAACCTTTTTTTTTCGGGGAGAAATCCGCATACAGACTACCCACTGCCTTGGCTCTACAGTGGGACTTGTGTGGGGGTCGTCCAGAGCCTGATGGTGTTGGCCCTGGGAATACCCACTAAAACTCCCCGGCTTCCCTTCCTGCCTGTATTTGGGGGCGATTTTGGACCTGCTACGGCAATTCAACAATTCACCCCCGGGACCCCCTTAAGCCTACACCTGGGTCGCAAGTCCCAGTCACTGTTGAAGCTCCTCTCACTACAACGATGGACCCGACACACGCATATGAATACATTGAATGATGAGAGGTTTTGTATCTGATATAAGGCTTCATTCACACTTGAATCTTATTATTGTTAGACAGCGAGTAGATTAATAAAATATTAGTTATAATATTAATTTTATATGTAATTTGGTGGATAAATTTATTTCAAATTAATTAAGTACTTTGTCTATAACTTTGAAATCGATTATTTTGTGCATTATAAAAACGACATAGTTTGATAAAAAAATGACTAAGTATATTATTCATTTAATTTTTTCTTTCCGTCCTCAACAGAGATGTACTTCATGTTGATTGCAGCTTCGTTTAAGATGTACTTTTATCAATTTATCATAAAATAATGAAAAAGTGTCTGTGTTGAGAAAAAAATACAGTAATTATAGTAATTGATAAATATTTATAGTAATTGGACGGAGTCAAAGTGCACTTTAATGAGTAATTGTATCAAATAAATTAAAATATGATAATGTTCGTACTATAATTTCAAAAATATGGTACTAATATGTAGTTATAGTACGTTTGATTTAAGCTGAGCTTTGCATTTGTGTGTAGGTGTAATGTCAAATTTTTGAATGAAACGTTCTTTTGTAGTTTTGATCCGGTTTATTCTGCTTTTACTCCGCCCCGCACCTTCCGCACTTCACCCTTTGTACTGATAGCAACGTCAAATGTTGAAAACGCTATGTCAGTGAAGAAAAATTAGTATTGTTTTTTCAAAATTTTTTATACTTATAATTTTTTTCTAAGTATTGTTTTTTAATTTTTAATCTAAAATATATCTAGCACTTATATTATACCTATATCTATTTAAAATATAATAAAATTTAATTCTAAAACTTTTCTGTCTAACTCTACTTTTACTTTCACTCACACAAATGCAAAGCTCAGCTAAGTCTAACGGACTATAATATTTTTCTTCATAAATATAATTTCATTATGTGAAATCTAAATTATTGTTATCCCTTTATATGAAACGCACCGAAATTTTATCCCTTCATACTATTTAAGAGCATAGTACCTATATGTTGCTATAACAATTTTCGTGTAACTTCAAGCAAAATTAAATAAAAAAAAGATTACATCATATAAGAGAATTTATAACATTTCATTATTTATATTAAAATAATGTTTTTATTAAAATAAAGAATTAAATTTATTTTTTTATTTTCTATACATTTTAAACACAGATAATTAAATATTTAGAATGACTTGAGAACGCCATCAACGTCAGCCGGACGAGTCATGCATTAATTAAAAAATTATTAATTATATAATCTTTTACATTCATTAATACATGATTGGAACAGAAATGACAAAATGTATTTATAAAAAATTTACTCACATGAATACCTAAATATGATTACGAATTTATTAACATCAAAAACAAAACAAATTTTAAAACGATTATTATTTTCTTTACAAGTAACTTATCTTATATGATTTTTTAACTTATTTATTTCATATTTGTATCCATATTACGTAAACCGGTCCGTGTGTATGTAACTCGATATATTTCGACAAATGCAGATGTCGAAACGATCAGAAATAAATTATATTTATATATAGTGACGAAATCAGTTCGGAAACTTGACGTTATGTCATTTGAAGTTTGACTTTTACAGTGCGTTCAGAAATGAAGCATTACAAATATATACGAATAATCTGAAAGTGCTTATTTAATATGCAACTATCAAAAAAAAAAATAGTTGGAAAAAATTCAAATATTATACTTACTAGATATAGACGTGTAAATAATTGAAGATTTTCTATGTATAAATTATTTAATACAATATATATTTCGTGTATAGGTAACTATTTATGTGGAAAAATTGTTGTATTGTAATTTAAATATCATCGATCGCTTTAAACTTAAATTTTATGGTTTTCAAAGTTCACATAAATTTTATTATGAAACGAATAAATATTATGAACTTATAAAGAAGTAAGATTGGATGAAAAAACTCCAATAACCACTGCAAGTTTCAACTTTATATAAAGTTACAAACTCCGCTGTACATAAGTTAATCTAAGAATCTCGTACGTTTTCAAGTAATCCAATAAAAAAATATATACCAACAATGAAATCAACACGTGTAGTAGCAGTTCCTTGAAAACTGAATACCACACACAGACTGACAAACAAACGGACGAGTAGCAGACCAACTACACTTAATGATTACTGAGAAACAGGTAGATACATCGAGAATCATGAGTATTAAACACTTACTAAGGTATCCCTACTAATATTATAAATGCGAAAGTACCTCTGTCTGTTACACTTTCACGGGTAAACCATTAAACTGATTTTAATGAAATTTGGTACAGACATAGAGTTGATCTCGAGAAAGAACATAGGATAGTTTTTATCCCAGACTTTTGAAAAGTTCTCTTGGAAACGCGATATAACCGAACTCCACGCGGGTGAAGCTGCGGACGGAAAGCTAGTATTAAAATACTTCTAAAAAACACTTAGGTACGTTGTCTATAGATGAAATTTCTATCTATAGTTCACTTGATACTAATTACTAAGATACCTACTAAGAAAAAACTGAAGTGTATTTTCAGTGTTGAAATACTTATAATGCTTTATTAACATCTATTCTTAGCCATTATATAGAATCGTTGCTTTCTATTGTCTCAACAAAACATTAATTTCAGCTCACCAATAAATAACGATATTTACACGCCCTAATAATAAAAACATGTCGAAATTAAGCAATACATTACAATTTCGTGTTACGATCCAATGCAACGTTTAAATAGTTTTCTATGTAAAATAGTTCAGATCCGTACCTACCTACAGTATTGATGAATTTATCTATCTTTAGAACTTACGCAGTTTATAATGAATTAACAATAAAACAGTGCATCGGTTTAATGGTAATGTAATAAAATACAATTTAACTGTTAGCTTGAGCGACTTATTTATTTAAGTGTACTACAACAGTGGGTTTCAACCTCACCCGGAGACCACACATTAAAGCCAACCTCCAAATATTTCACTACATAGTCTACTTAACACATTTATATATGTTTTATTGCGCTGCGCGGTCGTTTCATTGTTAGATTGGGAAATAATGTAAACAGTGGTCAAGATACAATTGTTTTTATTCTAGTTTTAACGATGCAGTCATTCGGTAACGAATTTTACATTGAGTATATAATGACAACTGTTAATTTATAATACCTTCACGTGAACGTCAATGTTTTTAATGGCGATTTTTATATAAACAACTATATTTATATTTAGAATCCGCCGATTTTTATATATTTTTTTTTTATTTTATATTCAAACTATAACTTAAAAAGACTTTATCAATTCATAAGGACTTTTCCCGAGATTCGTCAATGAATTTATTAGGGGTGAACCATAATTATTAAAATATTCTGTTTCAATTCATTAATACGCTAACAGTAGCTCCGTATAATCGGTAATATTCAATAATCGTTATGGCTTGAAGAAATTCTTTGACCATACATCTTACCTAACGAACTACTAATTATCTTTTATTTAACAAGTACAAATATACAAAAATTATTCAATCATTCATGATAACGGAACCAGTAACATAAAGGTATATTAACATATTAATTAAAACAATCAAGGTGTATTCTGTGCAAAATTATTAATTGCTTTCATAAAAATGATATTATCTTTACTTACAAAAACAAATATTATTTTTTATATTTCTACATATTTTGCTGTATTTTTTTTTTTGTATAATCAATACGTTTCCTTTAATGCTTTATTTCTGATTCTTGGTCTTCAAAATTGTAAATACGACATCTATTAGTTTAATCTAGGATACGTTTGTATTGCGTATAGCGACATCTAAGTAAAGCAAGCCGAATTATTCATGCCATTAGAAAAAATCTACTAGATTGTTTAATAATTGTAAAAATTATTTCCATTTTTAAAATAAAACCTATATAGTTTGTAGACAATTCCATACAGTTATTCATAATTAGATTCGCTTATTCCTGTTTGTAGTATGTGACTATGACAGATGACATTCAACTATGAAAGGCTCGGGGTAAATGAAAATAAAAATGACGTTTCCGGACAGTTTTGCTTTGTTATCGTCCCGAATAATTTCTACATTTTTAACGAGGAGAAATTTTTTGTGTTCAAGTGCAGGCAGATTTCACATGGATATTAAAGATGAAGCCAGATCAACCATGGAAGTTGTTAATGTTCCCCCAATCATTTCCATTTACCGGCAAGCGTTGCACACTTTTGATAATAAATTTAAAAAGGACCTCTCTACCAACTTGGGAAAATTAAAGGGTATGATGGATCGATTAAAAGCTGAAAACTTTAGCTTCGATCATACGCTAGATGATCCAGCGACTTGGAAAAAACCGAATAAAGCGCCGTGTACGTACATCGAAGTGTTTCAAAACAGCTTAGTAAACATGAGTATATTTGTGTTAAAACCTGGATTTAGAATGCCGTTACACGATCACCCTCACATGTACGGGTTGTTAAAAGTAATATCGGGAGCGGTACGCATACGAAGCTTCACTGAATATCCCGTAACAGAATCGATAAACGCCTTTGATTTCGCTATCCGCGTAAAACACGAAGCAGCACGTTTAACTCAGGGCATTCACAAACGAAGAAGATTCTTTGCTAAAATATCACAAGATAACATATGTCAAGAAGACTCTCAAACCTGTGTCCTGACTCCAACTATTTCTAACTATCATGAAATTGAGGCTTTAAATATGCCAGCAGCTTTCTTTGATATATTGTCACCACCCTACGACACATTAATAGAAGAAGTAGGTCCAAGGAGATGTAGATATTATTATGTAGCCAATGAAATAAGCACCAATGTGGTTGAACTACAAGAAACGAGTGTTCCGGAATGTTTTTATTGTGATCAAGCTCCCTACCTAGGTCCAGTGCTCGTATAAGTATATAAGTGTGCTTGAAGTCATGTTTATTTTTTTGCACTGTTAGAGAATATTTTTTAAGAGTTACCAAAACGAGGTTACTCTGTGATCTCTTTGTAACTTACTTAGTGCAAATTACTTTTGTGCCTTTAATGTGAACATCGACAATGAAATTGTATAGTTCACTTAGTATAGTGTTATCAGTTGCACATATTTCATATTAATATATAAATATCATGTCTGTTATCCAAAAATACGTATAATTTACAGTATTTTTATCAAGCTCGATACTTAATAATTGTATTTGCAAATTTTTCAACATGTTTAAAGTAAATTTTTCCTAACTTTAGAACATATATTTTGTATGTCCAAGATTTCAGAGATTATCTTATTACTGTAAAACGCAATAGACTCTTAAGAAATTTTATTCAATAGTTCAAATTATAATGATGTTGTTCGATAAAATGTTATATATAATGTTCACACAACATAGTCTTTTTAAATCATTAGCTTTATAGGAGTTCCATTGTGCACAGATTTACGTAAAAGTATAAAGTAAGCAATAAATTCTAGATGTATTTTCGTAAAATTTAAAATTCAATGTTTCAATCACTTTATCACTCATAAATTTTAGAAGCATCACAGCATCACATGCTTTACATTCCAATAGATAAATATAATTTAAATTACAAAGAATTTTAAATAAAGTTTTTTATAATTAGGGTGTGGATAAATAAAAAATTCAAAATTATATAGTTATATTTACAATCGTGTGTTTTGAATTAATGTAAGGTGCTCGTTTATCACATTTCATGTAATTGGTGACCTGATGTTTACAAATATGAAAATTAAGTCATTTAAGGTTTTACATTATATACGTAGATAAAAAAAATATGCAAGTATTTTGTTTTGTACCTTATATAAGATATATTTTGTAGATGTAAGTTTGTTCTGAAATCTAGTATTAAAGTATTTTTTTTTGTTAATAAACTGAACGGCTTGTTGAAGTTATGTTTTTTTATGACCCTGCTGACACTTTATTTATTGTTGAACTATTCACATATTAATATCAGAAGAAAAATCTATTAAAAAATCGATACTTTTTTTATTATGAATTTGGCTTAAAAAATGTAAGGGATATGTTAATAAGTAAACAAAGGGTAAATCTCGAAAATTTATTATATATATAACATTACAGCTTCAAATGAACACAAGAATTGCACACGAAATATGATATATTAAAATATATATAATTACAACTTCTCAAATGTGCTTCATAATTAAAAGAATTAAGGCAGACATTTTAATACAACACCAATATCATACAAAAGTTGCCAAAATTAACTTTCTATAACATTTTATATATAACCACCAAAATAATTAAGGGATTTAATTTTATTTTCAACTTTAGTACGATACGTGATTTTATTTTTAATTAATTTTTTTATTGAAATCAACCAATTTCTGATATATCAGTATGTAAATATCAACATTATTGTTAGAAGATAATACAATTGAACATTAGTTTCTATGAAAGGCGTCAATTTTCATTAAACAATTCCAATTACTCAAAACGCAACATATTAACGATTATACAGAATTTTAGTTCTAAATGACTTGTAATACTAAAATAACTTTTAAAACATTTAAATAATGTTAGTATTTGTCTTATAATTAAAGTATAACATATGTTTTATTGAAAACAAAAATTAAATGTTTATTTTATAAACATTTTTATCATGACAGACGCGTTCAGATAAAAAATACAATACAATCTGATAAATTATAAACGTGACCACACTATCTCTTATTATCTATGATAACGTATTTTGAGCGTATTTTTAAAATAAAATGAATCGATACAAAATAATATATTTTTCTTAAATGCGTTACGGAATAAAATGATAATAAAAATAAAATCTGAGTAATTTACAAGTACAGATTATATATAAGCATGCGTTGTTTTATGGAGCCAGTATTTTTAGTTTAATATATTAATTAAAATAACCTTATAACCATAACGTTTTATTTTAAAAAAAATAAATGTTGTTCCATTAATTGATAATATAATAAAAAGGTTTTACCATTCGAGTTAAAATTAAAATGATCATAAAGTAATAATTATTTATTCATTAAAAACAACAACAATATCAAATTTGTCTTTATAGATGTATTTAGAATACCGTTGAGAATAAAAGTTAAAACATATTGATAAAATTAAAACATCTTTTTAAAATGTAACTCGAATATTATTAAACTAAATGATTATTAATAATAAAAAAATATGCAGAGAGCAGAGATTACGTAGAAATGTTATAATTATGACCAAATTAATTCAAGCTGCCATAAGACTAGTTGCGTTGTACTGTTTACAGACTAGTTCTATAATGTGCTTTATATCTATAGTAATAGAATATAAAATTCCATTCTATGTGTCACTAAGATTTTAATTTGATACTTTTCAGTGCTCTAACTTTATTTGGACGGTGAGAAATTGTTATTTTTTTTTTAAATTTAATATTAATTAATGAAATAAAATGTATATTAAAATGAATTTTAATATCAATTGGACATATAACAATTATATATTTATATATTTGCATATATTTTTGACATATGTTATAGTACAACGCCAATGATTTAATCAATAATCAGATCAATATTATATATATTTTATTATCTTAATTCTAGTTCACTCCTCCGGCTAACTCTCTGACTGCTTGCGCCACGTCCTCAGCTAATTTGTCAGCGGACTGAAAAATAATTTAATTAAATTAATAATAATAGAATATTATTATAAACATTGTAATAGAATAACCCTCGTGAGTCTGGTCAATGTACGATTGAGTTGAGATTTTTTTTATTACCCAATTATCTGAGGTGGTTTTTACAAAAAAAAAATTAGATAGGACCACCGATTTTGATTAATTATTGGTTGAAAACCGAATCTTTGTCCAAAAAAAAAAATGTAGTTCAATACCGAAATGATGAGGTCGCTTCACTCAACTAGCATCTAGAACTGTTATTTTCAAGCAAAGAGAGAAAAAATAAAGTGTTTCATACATCTTGTAATAATGTAAGAGTACATATGAATTCATATAACTCTGTCCTAATTTTTCAATTAATATTAATTTGAAAAATAAATATTCTTGACAGGGCTGTTACCAAAATCTATTGGAGTTTTTAAGAGCAAATATTAGTAATAATTAAAGTTCTACATATAAATAACGTGATTTCTTCGTGTTAAACATTTTCAAACATGTAAGATTTTTCAAAAGTATGATTTAAGGAAATAGAATCAATAGCAATTTAGACTACTATACATCCTCTTATAATAAAAACACCTTAACGCCAAGAACAAAGTGCTACAACATTAAATATATTAAATATTATATCTTATAACATTTTTCACTAAATATTAGCCAAGAAAGTATCTTTCATTACTACTTCAATAATTCAAAATAGACAAAATTTATTATTATTTACTGAATTAATCAAACATTTCTTTACAATTTTTTTCTTTAATACCTGTCACATCAAAATTTCTACTTTATAATTTATATACAGGGTGACTGGTGAATTACTATCAATATTTAAGGAGAATACTCGGTACACGATTCTCATTCGAATTATGTAAAAAAAATAGGCACTTAATTTTTGACAAAATTTCCGTATAAATAAATAAAGTGTGGACACGTTCCAAGTGTTCCAAGTGTGGACGCGTGCGGCGGCGTGCTGATACAACACCACGCCGCCGCACACGTATGTGTGAGTGTGTGTGTATACCTAATCTGTAGGGTGTTCACACGATGCGTAATTAATTACATAACTTTTGGTTAACTTTACTTGGAAGTTTATTAATATTTATGTTATATTAATTTTTATTTTGTCATATAAGATCGTCAAATATCACGTCCTCAAGTATCGATAGTAATTCACCAGTCACCCTGTATATATCTTACCTCCTGTGTATCACCCTCAGCGTACACCCTCACTATATCTTCAGTACCTGAGGGTCTAACAAAAGCCCGTCCACTCTCCACTTTACACACGAGCTCATCAATCCTCTCCTGTAATCCTTCCGGTGAGATGCATCTCCTCTCAGCATCAGTTGTTTGAATAGCGTTACGATCCTGAATATATATATTATTGATAGATTAATTATAATATAATAATGTATGAGGATAAAGATTATAATGAGATCTAAGACTTTTGCAAGTATTCATTTAAGATACTAAGATATTCGGATTACTTCAATGTAACCGAAACGTTGGGAGTATGAAGTTTATAATCAAAAATAAATAATACATCCAAAAAGATTAGTTTCATTTTAATAGAAATACCAATTTTTGAGTCTATCATGAAATATACATTATTAAGTTTCATAATTAATTACTTCATTCCATATGTCGTATCGTATTATCCAATTATATCTGACCTGTACGGTAACTTTAAGTTGTCTGCAAGGCAGGTCTTGGTAAGTGGTTTCCCAACCAGTAATATTTTGACCTCTCGCACATAATACAGTTTCCACGAGGAATAAATCTGATATAGCGTCTCCAACCGTTTCATTGGTCATGTTGATGAAGTCTAATAATATTTGGGCAGATTTCCTTTGTTCGGCATCTCTGTAAAGATATATATATAAAGATTAATATAGTCGCGTATAGTGCAAATCCGCGTAACTAGCATTGGTTAATTCCGCGTATCTACATTGGAAGAAAATTATCAGAAGAGAGTTTAAGTTGAAATATTTTCTATATTAACGACTTGTAAGGTATTTTTATTCACAATTAGTCATAAATTAAACACTAAATAAATATATATCCCGAAGTGAGGATAAAACGTTGACATTTGCTTTGTTCATATTTACACGGGAAAGTATTTTGTCGACACGACTTATTTGTAAATTGAATTTAGCTTATATAAAATGTTTTGGTTTGAGTAAATATTTAGTTTGTTCTATTGACGGTTTGATATTTTATTTAAAAAATCAGGCTTTATAAGGTAGCTACATTTTTTTAATCATTTGTTAGAATCCTATATATAATATAAGTATATACATATAAGTTTGTTATCATCATATAATATACATATAAATTCAGTATGTAATATATTAGTATCATAACACTATGATTCTCACCCGTCTTCGTCTATTTTCTTGAGTGTGTTTTTAGCTTCGTTGCTATAAACCACAGTTCCATGACCATTCGCTTCAAAGTATATTCCGATGTCATATTTCAAGGCCTCGTGATGAAGATTCTTCACGCCGGTCTTTACACACGACACTGGGATTTTCTGTTTATAATATATTATATGTATAAATTAATATTCGATACTTTTTATACTGAATAATTAAAAACTATGTATATATATACAGAGGTTTGAACTATAGTAGGTAGAATGCACGGCTGTATTTGATTTATTTATGCACGCTTCAATAGAACATAGCTCACATTCATGTTTTTCCACAAAAACTTAGTAAGCTCATTAATTATATAATGACAATTTCCACCAAACAGTGATAAAAATATGACCGGTATTAGCCAAAATAAGTATTTCTTTTATAATCAACAACTTAAATGATTCAGATTGCTAAAAGTAGCACTTTACAAATCTTCAATATATTCCATAGGTTTTTAGACACAATTATTTTCTGTATACAAAACTCGTCAACTAGATTTAACCGATTGTATGGAGAATAATAAATATTATTCAGTAGTTCTCATTACTGCCACAATGTATGTAAGGCGGCGCTAGTATCAACCGGTCGATATTGTTTCTCTTTATACCGATAGATGGCGCTTTCAAAAATATCACTAAGCCATGAATTTAATGATTACACAAATTATACAAATCTATGTACTTCCATAATTATGGAGTGATGTATGTTGTAAGAATATTATTTTTTTATTTATAGAGAGAACCATTTGTCAATTTGTTTCATGACTCACCAAACCGATTGTAATAAAATGATTTATATACATATTATTCTCTATATTTTCGTTATAAGCCTTGTATACATTTAAATAATAATTATTCTCACCAATTCCTCTGTAATATATTTAGTTGATGCTCCATTAGCATATGCTGTCTGTACTAGGCCTAACTTCAATGAGTTCGCCCCACAGTTGTTGAGTAGTTCAGTTATATAACTTGCGAGTAGTGTTGCTATACGATCACCGTCAAGAAGATGCATTTTTTTACTGAAATAAACAAAAAAAAATTATTATTTAGTAAAATATTTCAAAATTAGACAGGTTTGGATAAAAATCTATACTTTGATAACATGGTAACTAATAATTTTCTCTTAAATCTTCATAACGAAGGAACTGTACAGTTAATTAAAATATAATACAGTAAAATTATTACTTATTTTAAATGAACAAAGTTACATAATATATACAATTTTGAATTACTTAGTACAGTTAATACAGACATGTTCGACTTTAGTTTAAACATCATATTTAATATGCATCAGTGATATTCATATTTACTTTACTATATCCCTACTAATATTATAAATGCGAAGTAACTCTGTCTGTCTGTTGCGCTTTCACGCCTGAACCACTGAACTGATTTTAATGAAATTTGGTTCAGAGATAGAGTTGACCTTGAGAAACTAAATATATATATAATCACATATTAATATGAATACTTACTCATCATCAACATAATAATACACAATCCTATCACCATCTCCGTCGAGTGAGGCGACTCTTTGATATGGAACATGTTCAACACCCACTGGGACTGATTGAGACACTTTAACATAATCTGCACCACACTGGAATTATTACATTATTAATATAGATATAGCAAGTGTATGATAAATATTAGAATTATATTAACATACATAAATAAATATAAATATTTATATATAATAGTTTTTGCCCGCGACTTCGTCTGCGTTTCAGAATTTGAAATGTATAGCTCGCTTGGAGAATTCTATGACTCCTTAAAATATGCTATATCCATTCCCTCGTTCTAAACAATCTTTTCAACAATATCCTTACAGTTCTTGATTTATAAATAGCGTAATTAACACAACTTTATTTTATATATATATCAAATCAAGTGTATGGTAAATTATAGAATATATTTAAATTGTTTATCACTATACTGTGATAATACTATCAATTAATATAGTTCAAATATATTATCAATTTTATTATTTGATAATGATCATCCCTACTAAAATTTTAAATACGAAAGTAACTCTGTCTGTCTGTTACGCTTTCACGCCTAAACCGCTGAACTGATTTTAATGAAATTCGGTACAGAGATAGAGTTGACCTTGAGATAGAACATAGGATAGTTTTTATCACAGAGTTTTGAAAAGTTCTCTTGGAAACGTGATATAACCGAACTCCACGCGAGCGAAGAGGCGGGCAGATAACTAGTAATATATAAATAACATTCATTATAACAATATAACATACTCACATTCAAATTAAGTTTCCCACCGTTTCCACCCAAATTAAACAACATCAAATCAAGTTCTCCGTCTAATGTTTTCTTTATAATGTTCAGTTTTTTTCCTCCCACGCCATTTGCTCCGTCCACATATAATGTTGTATTATAATCACCACTCACTGATAACTTTTGACGAATCCTTTTGAAAGATCCCACAATTTTCTCATAGTAACCTGTATTTGTATAGAAATTCATTTTGTATATTAAAGATATATTATTTTGTATATATGTGGGAATATAATTGTAAGAGAATTTTGAAAATAATCTTATTCAACTCTTAAACAATCCATCAATCTTTAAATAGTAATCTATCTATCTAAAATATTTTCTAAATTAACTGCATTTTAAGGTAATTTCTTCACAATTAGTAATTATTCAGTGTTTAATTTGATTTTTTTAATGTAATTAATATTTCAGCTTAAACTTTCCTCTGATAATCTGCTTCCAATGCATTGGAATTGCACTATCCCCGACGATATTTAAAGGATTATAATTGTAAGAGATTTTTGAAAATATGCATATTAATTATTAAGACATTATCTACAGCAGTTATTATTATAATATGTTATATATACCTTCTTCAGTAGGTACTCCATATGTGTTATCGTTCCTACATTTAACACAGAAATGTAGTATCGGTGTAGTCACTATACCAAACTCCTTTGGAGTTCCTTTTAATGCAATAACACCATTCGCAGCGGCTGCAGCTAGTCTTGGACTTGTATATCTGTGAATATGTACATAATAAATTAGATAAATATATTAATTTACACTTCATTATATGCTATAAGCCAGTAAATGCCACATCGAAATTGTTACAGCTGTTATTATTAGCAGATTAGTTAAAATAAAGTGAGAATTTTATATATATTTATATATGTGTCTATAAAGCTTATAAAAAAAGCAGTTATATTAATGATACAAATGGAAATTATAACTTTATTTATGTGTACAAATTGTATAAATTGTACATAGATAGAGTTGAAAGGAGATACATATTATATACATAAATATATGCATATTCATAAAAAAAACTTTTTATAACACTACTTACTATTTTTTCTTTAAGTTTAAAGCTCTTTAAGTTACTTAAATATCTACCTAGTAATAAACATGAAAGGATATGAGAGACAAACACACTTACATGTTCATTATGTTTTTAAAGAATATTTAATTATAATCATGAAAAAAAGAAATTCAAGATATATAAATACTTTCTAAATAAAATCTACATCTACATAATACATATATATTATAAACATATATAGTTTAGTTACCTTGTATCCATTCCTATATAGACACTGGCTTTCAAAGACATGTCCGCATTAACTTCTTTTATTATTTGACCAGTTATTGATTCCAAGTCGTTGTCACTGAAAAACAATAAATATTTACGATATAAAGAGATAAGTAAGTTTATATAAGGTATTATTTATATAAAGCAGTAAGAGCATAGCCCACAATGTTGTTTCTAAAGGATTTAGTGGGTCATTTATAAACTATATCTAGACAAAACATAATTTTCGACAAATTTTAATATTATTTAAAACAATAAAAATAAAAATTCGAATAATATAAAAGGATTATTAGAAATTTGGAATTATTTATTTAATTATAACAGGATTTCATTTACATTTAAACTACAATGTTGCCAAAATGAATAATTAAACAAAATTTTATTTTATTACTTTTATGAAATCATTATTTTTATGTATTTATATCATTGTCACTATAAAACTTAAGCATATTTATTATTTTCAAATAAATATTTTTTAATTAAATTAAATGTACATATTATCTGTATGTATTTTCCTAGATGAGTGTCAATCTACAACAGATGAGTGTCACTCTACAACAGTTGAGTGTCTCCGTACCTAACATTAGCCATCCTGGTAGCGATGTCTTCCCAACTTTGTTCCAGCATCTCACCATCGGGATCAATCAATTTAACTCCATTGTCAGGTTCGAGGTTGTGAGATGCTGTTATCATTATACCGATAGTACGACCTGAAACACACAATATATTTATTTATAGTAAATAAAATACATCTTATATATTTTAATTCATAGTGTATGTTTAGTAGTGTATATTTAATTCATTTATATTTGATAGTTTTATGGAGACCAGGTAATTTGTGAGTATCGCGTTTAGGTAATGAGAACGACCTATTTATTTGAATGCTTTATTGATACTGACTAAATTATGACAATGCTTACATTTATATTTGCTTATGAATGTGTACATACAATGAAATTATATTAATGTATGGGTGAACTCATACCCATAGTCGTAGAATTATATGCTATTTATGTACAATTAATTATTTATTGAAAAAAAATTTCATCTGCGATTTGGACTCGCGTTTGAAAGATTCCGTATATTTTTTTGTTATAATAACAGATTAAAAAAAACAGTTGTATATAACTCCATATAGATATATATTTTATTTTATTTTTTTCTTCAAAGCCGCAACTAAAGTATATTATCAACAAATTACTATTGTCTATGACGATTTATGAGTTGGTGCCAAACAGATAACAGGTTCTTAGAAATAGTCTTGTTTTACGTTATCTGTACGAAACCTTAAAAAAACCGCTGAAATTTTTTCATATATTTTATAATTTCGTCAAGCAACTCATAGGTAGTATATAATTAGGTAGTAAAAATAGTCTTATATGAACATAATATACAGGGTGACTGGTGAATTACTATCGATACTTGAGGACGTGATATTTGACGATCATATATGACAAAATAAAAATTAATATAACATAAATATTAATAAACTTCTAAGTAAAGTTAACCAAAAGTTATGTAATTAATTACAGATAAGGTATACACACACGCGTGTTACGGCGTGGTATTGTATCAGCACGCCGCCGCACGCGTCCACACTTGGAACACTTGGAACGTGTCCACACTTTATTTATTTATACGGAAATTTGGCCAAAAATTAAGTACCTATTTTTTTTACATAATTCGAATGAGAATCATGTACCGAGTATTCTCCTTAAATATTGATAGTAATTCACCAGTCACCCTGTATATGTTTAATTCACATTATATGTATGTATGTCTTACCATTTTTAACTCTAGACCGTATAACAGCTAGCAGTCCCATGCGGTACACGACATGCTCTAAAAGGTTAGCTCTGAAACAATACATTATAATATTACAAGACTTGTTTTATATTACTATGAAGTGTTTATAATATAACCATCGACCTTAATACGGGTTTTGATAGTAAACGTAACACCGATTATTTTAAGGTTCATTCGTAAATTTGAAGACATATAAAACTATAAACATATTAAAATGTAGAAATCTAATTAAATTGTTTTAGTTCTTAAAAAAGTATCATAATATTTTATTTATGTGTCTTCGATTAATTTTCGATAAATATAATTTAATATCACGTGATTGGAAAATATTTTTACATTGAACAACAATTTGTAGGATGAAATGTAAATTAAAATAATACCAAAAAAAAAATTAAAGAAAAGAAAAATTTAAGGGATCAGTTGGTTAACAATGAATCAACGTTTCGAGCATGATGTAACTAGGAGGTGCACGTTCGCGGTTTTTTCTTTCTACGTTCGAAAAAAAAGAAATAACTTATTGGTGTAAATAGAGTTAAGCTGCCTCAGCGTTTCGGTACCGAACCATTTTTTTTGGACATGAGTTTCATTTTCCCGCCATAAAATTAAAAATGGTGCGTACGATCACCACTTTTTTGTGATAAAACAATCCTAGAACAAACTCATGTAGAACTATCGAACAAATAAAACCTCATCTCAATCGGACATTCGTATGCCAAAATCATTTCCATGGACGAATGTACCAAGTCGCAATTATAGTGGTCCTCTCGCTTTGCTAAACTAAGCTAAATAATTTCTATAAAATGTTTTTCTAGGTTTTGTAAGAAATATAAGCTTCATACTAGTGGAGAACCTCCAATTACTGAAACTAGAACAAACTGCAGTGTGTACAATAGAAATAAAACGTCGCAACAAATGATCAAGTGTGGCATAAAGTGGGTCATATTGAAACTATCACAGTTTAGACGCAGTAAAACCAAAAAGGCTTCAAATGGTAATCTATTTGAATATAGTTTTTTGAATACACCAATACATAGTTAGTATTGCTATTCTCCCGAAATTGTAATAAAAAAAAATTACAACCTAATAATTATAGAAGCTTAGATATATTTACAGATTCATATAATCTACCAAATCTCTAAATTAACCTTTTTTATTTCAATTTTTAAGTCATTTTATGAGTAAACCAACAATAATTACTTTTTGTTTGAGTAAATACGACCTTGTTCATATACAAACAACCCTACAGTTATTGACTTGTGGATTTTGTAATATAAGACTAATGGCGACACTTATAGTAATTAAATTTCAGGGTGATAGGAATTTAATCATAAGAGTCAAAAATATAAGGGAAAAATGAGACTTAAAGTTTCAACTAAAGTCTATACATTATATAATTGCTAACTTAAGTCAGAACTTTGTTGTTTTATATTAAGTCTGTTATCATTAAATAAAACTGCTATGCATTTTTAATTAGATTTGATACTTAATAATTATCAAGGTTAAAAAACGCTGCAATATATATGTTAATTATTTGTAAGGAAAAAAAACATAACATACATTGCAAAATTATAAACTTAATTACAAAATTATTTCATGAATCTAGACCTACATTAAATGTGTTTGGTACATTTTAGTATAACTTTTGATTTGATCATGATTTCCAATAATTTATTTTTTATCTTTATATTATTTGTTTTTACTCAATAGATTTCCAATGTAGATGTTTTATTATCTTGATAACAATAAATAATATTATCAAATGATCAATAAATTATCTGATAAAAATATGTAGTATGTTGAAACATTAAAAGTGGAACAAGCGGTTACATAGATACCGACATATTAATATGTATAATAGTGTAAATAAATTAATACTTTATATTAAAAAATATATAAAAGCACATGCCAAAATATAATAATATTAAATAATATATGTAGAAATTAAATTATTTTTGAAATCAATCCTATTGAGTTTTATTAAAATTAATTATATATGTTTGAAAAAAAGTTTTTATTGGAACTTTAAATCAAATACATAGACAGTATAAATTTCTTTATAGAATTTTATAACCGGGTTTTATAATCTGTAAGTAGATATATATAAGTGTTCTGATATCATACTCTCAGTAAGTGCTTGGATATCGGCCAATAAATTTAGAAAAGCATTTATTATAATGGAAATTGTATAAATCAAATAACCATATAAATTTTATATCTTAAATAGCATCTAAATGTACATGTTCCGTTGATTTGCAAATTGATACATCCTGTGACATAGTTACTAGGGTCGATAAACTACTTGGGAAGAAGTATGTACTAGGCTTTATTTCTTAGGTATTTAATATTTTATAAGACAAAGGATAATACTTTTGTAATATTAACATTAATTTAATATTTTAAATTTATCATTTTAAATGAAGATCTATTTCAAGGTCATAGTGGAAATACTAAGTAAAAATAATATTTAAATTAATTATATATTTTTTTACTACAAGTATATATTCTTTTTTATATTTTTTATCACGATGCTAGGGAAAAACTTGTAATGGGAATTAAATATATCTAAAATGATTGTAACACACCTAAGTATGGATTTTTTCAAACTATTTTTTCTTTAAAGTGTATACAAAGAATATTTTACCAGTTACATAATTTCCATAAGTTAGCATATTTCTTGAATTAATTATGTAACAAAAGCTATGTTTTCATATAATTCCCATATAACCGGTTAAACTGGGAGATTGACCTAGAGATTACATAGAAATATGGTTTTACTGCATTATCACAAGTTCACATTGACTTAGCTATGTGTGTCATACATACATTGCATTTAATTAATTCCAATGTCAACATGCAATGTCAAAGTTAAATTAATTAAGTGGAACTTTTAATGTGATTAAGTTTTCCATAGAAATTTTAAGTGTTTTAAAATTAAAAAATTTTGATGACAAATCTATAGCTTTTTGTGGGAAGTCAATGACCATAAACTCGACAACTTCCCGTATTAATTTATTCTATAAGTGACTCACGATCGTTGGTACTTAAAAGGATACGGCAAGTGCATCCTTAGTTAGAAATGCTGACGTGACACGTACTACACTTAAGTATCGTAAAGTTTTACTTTTAACTGAAATTACAGTTAGGAAATACCATTTATTGATTATTAGATAAATAATTACTCACTTGGTACGGAATCCGGCTGTGCCGTATTGAATGAAAACGTCCGTTGTTTTTGGGTGCATTTCTCTAGCGAACGCGTACACGACTCGAAGGCTACTCGGCGGCATTCTGTTCGGTGAAATTATTTTATAAGGCCGCGAGTAACAATCACTTGAAATCAACAAACCAGATTTCTACATTCCCGCTTTGACAGTGGCGAATTATGACTATTTTTGTAACCCCACCGAAATGTCAAACGTCAAATTGTTTGAAACAAGTAACCAATTTAAAAAACGCAGTAGCCAAATTAGTTTTCAAGCATCAAAGAACTTTTAAATTTGGCTGGACTTCTTATCTATTTTAGACGTCAAAACTTACTATACTTCGAAGCGATTTTGCTATTTGCCTCTAGATGGCACTGTAGAACATAAGAGAATCTACACATACATAGCATTTTTAACATATACATATACACAGTTTACTTTTCCTGCTATTGCGCAATAGATGGCATTGAGATCGTATTATATTTATTAATAAGCGTAGTGTTTCTTAGTTGCAATTAGTTATATGTATAGTAATGTCACTTTATAATATTAAATAATCTGATTTTAATGATTATCCATTGCTCCTCATTACAGAATCAATTAGTTACGACGAAACATGTGTCTCTATTTATCTAAATTAGAATTAATGATACCGTTTCAAGTTTTTCGTCACGCTGCGTTTGCTAAATGAAGATGTAATTAATTAGAACTCTCGAGATTGTTTACTAAGAGGTTGGCATTTGTTTAAAGACATTTTTATGAAGAAACTAAAAATATCTGAGATCTTCTAAGTCCAATGTTGTTGTAATTAGGAAGAAATATTGCTTACTGTATTATTTTACATTTATTATTTATTTCTGATACTTTAAATACAATAAAAATTATCGAGTTGAAATATAAATTTATATTCTTTGGAACACTGTATTTGTTTTTTATTTTACGACAAAATATGGCAGAACTTAAAAGTTAGCTAGATATAAAAAAAAATGTGATAATTTGACGGGTGTCTACTGAATGCGATAAAAAAATTATAAAATGTATTAAATTGAAATTCTCAAACAACATAGACATTAGACATACACAACATAGCATATAAATAAAAACATATAATATGTGACATCAAACAAACAATAAATCACTGGCAACTTTGAACTCTGAATGTATGAGATAAAATTTTTAACATCCTTTACATGTCTTATAAATCAGATTCGCTACATTAGCTTGAGTCCCAACGGTCCGACGATTACAACTAATTAGTCCAACAGCTTACAGCTCCCTAATTTAAGCTAATCATAGCTTGAAAACCTAGTGCTCGTGGATTTATTGTCTGTGGTAAATGTCATTATGTTAGTTAAACATTTTGTACGCATAAGGTCCTCAATTAGTTTTTATATGAATGGAATTAAGTTTTTGTTTGAAATTAAATATGTGAAACGTTTTTAGGTCAGTTGTGTTGTTAGTAATTATTTAACAAAATTGTGATTTTGATAAAATAGAGTTTGTATATAAGAAGTATTCAAAAGAATTTTTGGTTTGGTGTTATTACTTTTAATTTATTGAAGGTTTTATTAGAATTTCTTCCCATGCTTCAATGAATTAAATGTTTAAATTTTATTTTAATCGGCCTGTGATTATAAATTTAAGATTTTAATATGTACCAAACAACATTTAAGAAATTGTTAATAATTTTATTACTATGGATTAATTCTATATAATTTCATTTAATAGTTGTTTCATAAAAAAAGGAAATACTAAGTTTTTCATAAGAATAAGACACATTAAATAAATGCTTATTACATTAAACTCATTAATATTTAACATTATAATATCGATTCGTGAGCAAATTGCCTAATCTATATCCAATGGATCTGTTTTTGCCATAAAACTATTTGTGTAGTGGCAACACTTTTTGTATACTTTACATAATCTGTGGAATAATTGCTCTGGGCTCTAACTGGAAGCGATGTAGATAACGATGAAGTATGGCCGTCTGTCCGTCTGCCAACTACCGTCTACGTACGGATAGCAAATTAATATAACTAGTACAATAATAATTAATATATAAACTCATTAGTTATATCAGATGACATTTAATGGATGAATGACATAAATCGTTGCCTGTAACAAAACTGTAATTTAAAAAAACAACTTGTCAAAACTTTACCTCGACCCTGTCAGAAATTAGCATCGAGCTAATTAAAATATTTCAGTTTAACAATAATCACAAAATGACTTCATTAAAAAAATAAGTAAAAAGTTAAACAAAAATCGAATAATATAGGTATTGACAAAATTATAAACCATTGTTAAAAATAATACAGACACTATTAAAAAGTTGCATATAGGTACAGATAATATTAAATTAGTAAAAATTGAATATATACAATATTATAATATAATTCAGAAATAATAAATACTATTTATTATAACATTTGTGTTCAGTAACATCAAGTCAGTGTTCTGCTATCAGGTCATCTATAAGACTGAAAGCTGATTTACGAGCGGCCGCCATTAGAGCCATCTAGTGTAATTAATACTATTTATAAATACAATATTATTATAGATAATTAATAATTATCTAATGTTACATTTCATTGTATTTTATATCAATACGCACTTCTTTAAATTTATAGTATTATTTAAATGCTCAAATATTTTTTTAAATTTAATTTCACCTTGAACAGGCAAAGGTTTAATTCTATTCATCCATAATATTATAAATTTATTTTATAAGCTCAAAGTAAGTATAATATTTCTGTATGCCAGATTGATATGTAAAAATCATAATGTAAATGTTTTCGGGGTCCATTATCATCTTACACATCTTATCTATAATGATATCCGAGCCATCATTAATGATACAGTATCATACCAAATTGTAGGTAATATCATTGCTGTAATAGGCCCAACTTGATGGAAATTATTTCAACGACCAATATAACTTGAACTATCTAGCTTTTCTATGGTAATGTTCGATGGCAATATATATTTGCGAATTTATACTCTATTTCTATGTGAATAAGGTTTGAATTAAGTTGTGAATATATTGATTTTGTATCTATATGGTTCTACCTGATAGCAAGTCAATCAAAATATAGCGTAAAGCTATTTAGTAATTCGCTGATTCGCCATTAAATGTTATGTCCATTAATTGTTACGTAATATATATTTATATTGAGTTATTATATTTAACTAAAACTATCAAAGTTTGGTTAAACTAAATTAGTTTTTGTTAAACTTTCAAACTGACAGTATTATGGTTTACGACGACGTAACTTTAATACCAGTTTTGATTACTTACGTACTTAGATGATGTTCTCACACGTTTTAACTCGTACTAAAGTATATAAGATTATTTACTAAATACATATATATTTATATATTAAAAAATCTACAATGATTTCAATACTTCTATATTCTTACATTTGTATCTTTAATACTAAATATGATTAAAGGTAAAGAAAGGAATAAGCCGATGAAAATGTAAAAGCGTATACAGTAAGGCACTTTATAATATGATTCATACGAAATTGACCCTTATTGCTATGATATAAGTATGTTTATTGCTAGTATTATTTTATTATTGACGGTGTTAATATAACATCATGATGACGCGGGGTGGTCCATTTATACAATTAGTAAGGCGGCTTTATTGTACTTTACGACATGGGAACAAAGTTATTTACTTTATGTATGTATGAAGAATTGAATCCACTACAGTCTTCCTAATTTATATATACTTACTACGGGTTTTGCATCGTGAAATTTAACGCGAAAATTATCGTTCTTTTATAAAACTTCGCAAGTGATAGTATGAATTTGAATGAAATACTCGGAATTGGTTGTGTTCAGTTTTGTGTTATAAAATGATTTCATATTAAGGTTTGGAATTTATACATATATGTAGATATTTCTATTCTATTTTGGGTAATATTTTTTTAAATAGCTTATTTCAGTAATGAAATTAATTAAAGAATTCTTTAATTATATGAAAAATTAATTATTAACGAAATTAAAAAATATATTTAACATGTTTTTAACATGTTTTTTTTTCTAACATTATTTAAGTAACGATTCATTCACATATTAAATCATATTCTAAACTATATACAACTGATAGTATATGTATGTATATATTCTTCCTTGTTCCACTAGATCTACGTACATTAAGGGACATATTATTCGTGTTTGTTTGTCCATCGAGCTAAAATATGTAGGTAAATTAACTTTTCCTTGAAATATGTTTGTTATAGAATTACTGTAATAATACATAACTTAAAACAAGGCCGTAAAACTTTATGATCGAAATAAAATTGTAATAAGTATTTTCCGGTATTTTTCTGAATAGATATAATTACATATATGTTTAAAGAAAATTATTCGTTTTAATATGAAGAAAAATAATGTAGAGCCAATATGAAACAAAAGTTTTTATATCTAAATTAAAAAAAATTAAAATTAGGGTACTAGTGATAGAAATTATGTTATGTCCTATTCATAACTAAAAAATAAAAATATAATTAATATCATATATTATATAGTCTGTGAGCAACAATGGACTACTGAAGCTTATTGCTTTGTATAAATGTATATTGTTATATAAATAACGGGTCAATTATACAGCTACACCATTATTATACATTAATATATAAACAATAAGAAATATATAGGTACCTAGTGAAAAGATTCATTTGTATGTATGTATTTCAACTAAGTAAATTATTTGGACGTTGAAAATATATAAAGTTAATTATAACGAGCAAAATATCTTATCATCATCAGCCTATCAGAGCCCACTGCAGAGCAAAGGCCTCTTCTCACATGGAGAAGGTTAGAGCATTAATCACCACGCTTACTCAAGACGGGTTGGTGATTTCAAACTTATAATTGTGAAACTATAAGTCCAGGTTTCCTCACGATGTTTTCCTTCACCGCCTGTCAGTGGTGTCTAAATACTTTCAGAAAGTACATATGACTCCGAAAAATCTCAACGGTACTTGCCACTTGCCAGGTTTGAACAGGCGCCCTCGGCAACGAGAGGCAGGCCCTTTACCCACTAGGCTTATATAGAATTATAAATATCT